AAGTCTGCTACGGTTTCTATTCCCTGTTTATATAGGCTCCTTGCTCGCAAGCCGTTTAACATCGGCAGACGCAGCAAATCTAGCAATTCTCTGCAGACGCCGAACTGCAATCTCGTTTGAAATTGATTTACCAATAATTCCATGCAATCCCAACCTAATTGCTTGCAAAATTGCGTGACCATACCTAAGATAAGATTGATACATGCTATAGAAAATTTGCTTCCCGAATAATAAATTTATCGTTATTAATTTATTCGCTTTATTCGGTTTACCCGCGTACGTGGCGGCAGACTGCTGTAAGGTTTGCAATACTCCGCGACAACACCCGTATTTTTTACAAACCGCATGAAGCGGCATTTCCTTCACCAAATCGTGTAGCGCCAATGCGCTGTAGAATCTCCTATGTATATTCAACTGTGACACGAAGCATTCTCATTAGCAAATCTATGGGTACCAATTCTAATACTTCATGTCTTTCGCATTTAGAATAAGCAAATTCTCAATTACCGATTTTCCAGGTTTAACGACTCCCCTGATAGCTGACAACACAAAACGCTCTTCTACTCCGACGAGTTTTCCAACTCTGCGCTCGCTTTCGGACATAGCGTTCCACAATTCGTGAAACGTCATCCAATCGACAGTTCCAATTTGACATCCGGACGAGAGTGGAGTTACCAAATATATCACGTGCAATTCGGTGTCCAAAACGAAACATCTTCGTGCTTTCTGTAATTCTTCAAACAGAAACAATCCCTCTCTGGGAGGTATAGACGCGGCCAAACATGCTTTCCCAAGCGGCGTTGCTACCCACCTAGATTCCCGCTCTGTAGTTTGTAATCTGTGCAAATAATAAAATTATATAAATTAATATTTTAAGAAAATCATCAAGTGATATATTTAACTTCATAAAGAGAGTTATAATACACAGGGTTCAATTACACTTACAATAAAAATTCATTATCTAATAAGAATTTCATCGCTTCATTGGAAAATGTTCGCACATCAGACTGTTCATTCAAGCTTAGCAAAGTACAATTAATGTACAGTTCTAAATCTTCGTATGTATATAAAACTTCGCTAGCTACTGCTTCCAAGAGCGCCCTTATTAGTAGCGTGGAATCATTGAGACAAGATTCAATTGGATCCAGAGCTGCAGAGAGCAATGACGTAGCTGCATTACGTTCATTCGGTTTACATATTAGTATACTTTCTCCTGGAAATTATAAAATTTTCGTTATTATTACATTTATATTGTTAGTGATGCGTGATGTTTTATATAATTTTCTGGTTTTAATTTAGTTTCAAAGGCAAGTACAAAATAATTATAATGCATTATTTCTTTCATACTTTTTAAATACATCTTGCAGTTTAATACAATCAAGACGACTCATATCTCGTTCATTCATTATACATTCTGATATTTCTTACCTGCGCTGTCTTTCCCCATACGACCAGCACGTCCTATCATTTGTTTGTAAGTTAAAGTATTCAACGGACTGCCACCAAATAGAGGTGATCTTATGATTACTCTTCGTGCAGGTAAGTTTACTCCACTACTTAATGTCGACGTTGCTATAAGAACCCTCAAGGATCCCGTTCTAGAATGACAATATCAAGTTTAAAAATCCGTAAAAGATTTATCAGTCAAATAAATACATGATTATCACCTGAAGGATCCTTCTATGATATCACGTTCGTCCATTGTGAGTCCAGCATGATGAAACGCAACGCCGAACGAAATCGTGTTTTTTAAAATTTTGTCTAAACCACTTGGACTACGTTTTAATTGTTCCAGAGTTTCATGGATTAATTCAGGAGTAATTTCTTTCTTCAATATCTCACCAAGCTTTGTATTTTCACGACCTATTCACAGATTGAGATTAGAGGGGGGAGGTAGAGAGAGAGAGAGAGGGAGAGAGAGAGAGAGAGAGATCTTGTTTTTTTTAATTGCAGTTTTGTGTTTAAAATAAAACAAATATATTACTATACTTTATAGAGAAAAGAGCGAGACACAATAAAATCATAAACAAATATAGAAAGCACTGATAAAAAAAAACAAATCTATATTTATTCGATCTGAAGCAGACCTAACTTGAAGAAAGTTGCAGCAATTTGTTCTGCCAATTTCTCACACCATTTCTTTGTGGGACAGAAAATCAACACACTATGACTGGCACCTATTGTCTCAATGCAAAGCTGTAGAATATTATCTACATCTGTTTCTAATTCTTGCAACTCTGACAGTTTTCTGACAAGATTCAATTTGTTATCATATATATTTGCTTCTATCTGTAAGTAGAAATGATCTTAAACAGTGATCAGAATCTCTCTAGATTGTCTTCAGCAAAATACAATCAAATCTCCGTTATCTCAAATAAACAAAAATAATTTGTATATTTTCTATGCATTTTTACCTTGCAATATTCATTCAATGGTATGGGCCGAAACTCAGTCTTGTACAGCTCCGCACCCAACCATTTGGCTAGCAGAGGTAAGTTAGGTAATGTGGCTGACATACCTATCAGTTGTATATTGATATCATCGTTGCTGAAATGTTAAATTGTAAATGACTCCCAATTACGATTCAAGTTTCAATACAATCAGCAAACTCACTGGACAGTCATGTATTTCAATTTGGTCAGAAGTAGCTCCAAGAGATAGCCACGATTAGGATCACCGAGTAGATGCAATTCGTCTATTATCACAGCTCCTAAGCTACTCAAATCTTTTTCCTCCATCAAACGATTCACCAAAGAATTCGCCTTCTCTATAGTCGCTATTGCAACGTGGGTAGCAGCAAATCCTCCGGGCGGGACGTTTCCTCCCATAAATCCTTCCACTCTTATCCCACTGTCGGACAATAAATCCTGAATGCCAAATTTATCAATTTATTTATAAGGAATATCGTGCAATTTAAGATATGTTCGTAATAATTTTATTTCAATATATCTTACTTGAAAGTAATACATCTTTTCTCTAACGACAGACACAAACGGCAGGATAAAGATCACTTTCTTCTGCTTTTCTAGAACGGTCTTAATTAAGAGGACTTCAGCGACGAAGGTCTTTCCTGCGGAGGTAGGCGCGGAATACACGAGATTCCTTCTCTCTTGCGTTACTAGACGATTCGACAAGCACTCCATTTGCCATGGGAACATGCGTTCTACCCCACGGGCAGTGTATTTCTGAAAAGCAATATAATTATCAAAATCATTGAATTCGATTCATACATAAATCTAAGAATACTGTTTATATTATACAAAACCGCAGAAGTATTGCACACTCGTATAAATATAAAATGTCAAGGAATTGTAAATAATAGCAGTTATTTTAACTATTCAACGAGTCAGTAATGTCAAAATGATTTAAAACCAAACATTGAAGAATTGTGGCAACTTAAAATCTAAAAAAAATATAATAAATATTGAATCTTTATTTATGTTTGAATTTTTATTTGATTAATTGCAACAGACTTCAACAGATATTCAATAT